CTTAAGAGTTTTTAAATACTGTATTAGGCCAGGCTATGGACGCGTCAAACACCAGCACCACCGGGGAGTACACCAGTAACAGGACTAGCAGGAGTATCCGTCCAAGAGGTAAGATTTATCTACTTTCAGTATTTCTTATGGTTGGATGTTTAAGGATTAAGGTGTAATTTTTACAATATTATAGTGGAATTTCGGCACTCTACAGTTTAATAGTGATAACCCTACCGGTTGCACAGGTCCGAACCTTCCTGCATACCAAGTCAATATCCAAGTATCAGATGTTTTCTGGGACCCACCAATTGTTGCAGGAATTCCAAATGTCATTGGATATACTGTAGCAATCCCTCTAGCAGTCATCACCAATAATTTCGTTATTGATTTATATGATATTCAACAAGAGGTTTTAGAAACACAAACACAGTAATGCATGATTCATTTGATTTGTTATATCATATCAAGCGAAAAATCAGATGTATTAAACAGTTAATCAATACTTTATTTGCTACAACTATAATAAAAAAATAAAAGAACAATGCAAATTAATGAGATGTTTAAACTGCCGTTGCATAGGCAAATTAGTATGAGTGACTACATCAACAAGTCAAGTTTTGGCGAAACTTTATTACTGCATCACTGGTCATGTGATAGCGGGAATATTCTTGACTAGGGATGTTAAAAGTTCGGTTCGGTTCGACTCGACTCCAAAAGTCGAGTCTTAATTAAAGTTCAGCTTCAAGTCCGACTTGGAACCGACTCGCATTTTCATGTGCAACTTGTATATTTAAATATAGCGCCAAAAAGAATTATATGCATGCAAAGTATGCATGAATACCCATTTTTTTTCGGCTATATTTAAATCTACAAGTTGCAAGTGACAATGCGAGTCGGTTCCAAGTCAGACTTGGAACCGACCTTTAGTTAAGACTCGACTTTTGGAGTCGGGTCGAACCGAACCGCTGCAGCACCCAAAAAATTTTTCCGGGCACGTGATCTGAAGTTAATTTTACAAAAATTTTTCCCTCCCTGTAATTTTTTATCAAGAATAAAACAGCTCTGTAGTTAGGGATAGGATCTGAGTAACTTAATGCCTAATAGTAAAATTTTACAATGAGCATTTTTAATTAGGCCGCAGTAGATGGTTTCTTAATTAAAGTTCAGAGTTATTTCTGGTTTTTTTGTAAAAAGTGTCTTCGCTTCGATTGTTTACGTTACACCTGACCTTAAAATTTGATTGGTCAAAATCACGTTTCCGGAAAATTTTTGTGTGTGCGCTAGGATCATAGGCAGACTTTCATTTGATTGGCTAATGTAAATTAATTGCCTGGGTACCTTATTTATACACTTTAAAGTACTTTACAAGAATGCAACGTCTTAATA